CTCAATGAACGTCATAAATGCGCGTCACAAATGTGTGTCATAAATGCACGTCATAAATTTATGACGCACAATTGTGCGTCATCTTAAATTCATGTCGGTGGCTTCAACGACAGGCAAATGTGTGTCATCTGCACCCATAGATGACGCGCAATGCGCATCATTAAAGGGGTTTTTTCTACTAGTGTGTAATTCTATACAAATATAGAGAGAAAATAGAGTAGCTTTGATATTTTCTCGAGGATATACCTGAATGGCTAGAACATGTTCCCTTAATATGCATATATTGTGACAAGTAAGCAACTATTACTAGAGAACAAAATTTCATGTATAATAGTAAATCAAGACATATACGTCGTCGACATAATATCGTTAGTCAATTAATCGTAAAGGGACTTATCTTTGTTGATATTGTAAGATCAAAGGATAGCATCGCATATCATTGACCAAAGAGTTAAATAAAGATCAAATTAAGAAAACATCCAAAGGAATGACACTAAAGCCCATGAAAATTAAAGGTGTTATAAGAATGAAAACCCTAACTTATTGACAGGAGATCCCTAAATCTAGGTTCAAAGGGATAACCTAATTGTAAACAGTGATTAAACTGGTATAAGCTAAGCATGACTTTTATTGACCATTGTGTGCTTCGGTGAGCTGAGTAACATAAGTCACCTATGTGAGAGTGAAATGGGGTCGCTTTAAGGAGATTATAAGGCATAACTTTTTCAAACTCTTGCAGAATCAGACGATGTTCACGACTATATGGACATACCCATGAGAACTAACATACTTGTCCAAAAGATAGTTGTGTGAAGTATATCACCATTTACACAAACGATAGAACAGTTCAAGGATATCACGTCTACTGGTCAACCAATAAATATATTGTCACAAAGGAAGGTTCAAAATATGATACCTACCTATCCGATGCAACTATCATTCGTAGTGTCTATCACCACATCGAGTCAAAATATTTTGATAAAAGCATCAATTTCATTCATGTGGGGATTGTTGGAAAAGTTGTGATAAATTGGAAGTTTTTATGCATATTTTCTAAGGGTAAAGGTGGAGATTCGAATAATGAAATTACTTATTCATATTTTAGTCCATGAGATCTTTACGACGACATCTCACATGCTCAAAACGGTTGAGTGATGAATGATAAATTGATGCTCAAAGTAGGATACATATGAATTGTGTTATGTAAGGAAAATGGAAAAACCATATCCCACATTGGTGGGATAACAAGCATGAGAATGATTTATATACACCAACCCACTTGCTATTTATTGAATGACTTTGATTGAGATTTTGCCTCGCACGCAGACACAAGGGGTATAAATCTAAGCCCGGTAAACCCATTGGGGTTGGGGCGCACTCGCACGACGTGGGTGATACGAATGTTTGGATCAGTCGGGGCCATCGGGGGACTGCGGATAGTTTTACCCACTATGAATTAAATATTTTCCTTAAATGTGACATATCTTTTTGAATATTCTGAATTAAAAAGGATATTATATGTTTTCCTATAGTTCAAATATTAATATGGTATATCTTGCAGTTTATGAATATATTCTATAAAACGCGATATTAATTTATTACTACAAAATTTATTCGAATACTCATTAGTGACCTTATTTTTCAGAATATATTTTTCCAATTATTCTCCTATGAGAAATTCTATAAATATCGTGTTAACCTATTGAGTTAAACACAACTCAAAAACTCTTTTATTTCTCTCTAGTTTTTGGTGATAGTCTTAGGCAAGATATAGTTTGTGATCTCTGCAGTTGTGCTACTATACGTTGATCATCTCATTGTTGTATTTTGGGCGACAGGTGATCAAATATCCCGAGCACCAAAGAGTGCCGAAAACCTATCTTGAGGAAACTGTGTAGCTAAAGGCCTCAATTAGTTTACAGATCGTTATTATATTGATATTCAAGTTTTTGTTCTAAACTGTACTTTTTATTTATTAATAAAATTTTATTTTCCTTTTTCTTTTACCTCTTTAATTTTTATACTTGTAACAATTTTTAATAATTAAAGGGTCGTTTTGTAACCTTTAATAATTGATATATTTAATAAAATAATATAATATAATCAAGAGATCATTTGTGTATTTTACCCTAAAAAAACAAAACATTCATAATACATAGAAAAGCCACTAACTTTTCAAGTATAAGTTTAACTAATAATTATAAATTTAATTTCCAATCATAAGAGTTGTGTCATATTCGTGAATTTTAACAAATAAAAAAAGGGTAAACTATACCAGTGATAACCTAACTATAACTTTTTTTTATTTTGACCACCATTTTTAAATCTTTGTCAATCAGGCCACCCATCTATTTAAATACATTCAATCAGGCTACTTGTTGTTAACATTTAACGGAAGTGTTAATGTGACAGTTAATAAAATTTGTATAATCACACATTTAGTCGTTATTGCTTACACAATCTATCAAATTAGTCAAAATTTTAAATTAACGTAATATATTTAACCATCCAACAATATGACAACATGTGTCATAATATATTTTTTTATTTAATTTATATTTAATTTTTTCCTCCCATCATGTTGTGACATGTGGTACCACCAGATGAAAAGAAAATAAATTGAATTCAAGCACCTTTGTGGGGGAATCAAACATGAACCTCATAGAGGAGAAGGACGGCGTCAACCACTATGCCAGCACTAGTTCTTAGTTCTATATTTATTACATTCGATATGTACAGTTAGGAAGGCCAGAAATAAACGTATAAATATATTATAATAAATAATTATAAGAGAAAATAACCTCAGTGACCGAAAATGCCTTATAATATACGATTTTAACCATTTTTTTTGGATTTGCCAAAATGACCAACAAAATCGCAACGCTAACTTTAATTTTTCAACTCAGTTTCCAGATTCGCAACGTGAATATCCAGATTCGCAACGTGATTGTAAGATTCGCAATGCGATTTTGAAAAATGTGTTGCGATAGTTAAAATGTGTTGCGAGAGTTTGAAAAACGTGTTGTTGCAATAGTGAAAAAGTGTTGTGATAGTGAAAAATCCAAAATAAGTTTACATTTTAACTATTCCAAATTCACGTGGAGTTTGAAACAATAAAGAATGTGTTGCGATAGTGTAAAAGATTCCCAAGTGTTTGTAATGCTCAATCCCACATAGTATTGGAAACACTATTGGGAATGTGTATTTAAGGCTTGGATTTCCCACTTCCTTGTGGATTGGAAGAGAACAAGGGGGACTCTTGCGCACCGCCGCCGCCGTCGTCCCGTCTCAGGTCAGGTCGGGTCGGGTCAGGTCGTGGTCGTGATCGTGAGTTTAAGGTAAAAATTCACGAGCTAACCTGACCCGTATGAAATCATTAATTTACCCTTTTATATATATTCGAATCTAGTTAGTATAAATATATTATTTTTGTTTTTATTTTTTCTGGCCTTCATAATTGTATAAGTTATATATCGAATGTTGTAAAAATCAATCCAATAACTAGTGCTAGCGCAAGTGGTACCATATGTCACCACCTAATTAGAGACAAATATTTAAATTAAATTAAAAAATATTGTTATGTGTGTTTTCATATTATTAGATGGTTAAATATATTAAATTAATTTAAAATTATGTTTAATCTATAGATTATGTGCAGTAAAAGCTATACTTTGAGAGTCGTTGGTATATAGTTTACCCATAAAAAAAATGTACCCTTATTTCCCATTGCATAGCCTTTCGTCGCCTTCCTTTTACAAGATTCTCTATGACTCCTCTCTGGCTCCTACTATCTTCCTTTCTCTCGATTCGATTAGATCTCACACCCATCAAACAAAACCCCACACTGAACCAACCATGACACTTGGCTCAGGAGGATCGAGTGTCGTGGGTTAGCCATTCCTTCCCTTTCTCCATTCTCTTCATTTCATTTACTTCTCGACTCGATCTTGTGGTTTTATTTATCATTCGATTCATGGGTTTCATAGATTTCATCGTTTTATCATTTCTTTCATATGCAGTCAGTGGCTTGGTTAGTTTATATGGATTAAGATAAGAAATTGAAGGGGCCTCTCTGTTTTTCTGTTGTTCTATGGGGTTCTTATTTATTTGAAGTTTTGGGTAGCTTTGAATTTCTGTATTTGTTTCTGTTTTGGTTCCATTTCTGTTTTATTCGATGTAAAATATGTTTTTTTTTAATGGCCTGAGTGTCTATTTAGCAATTTATAGTATGTATCTTATGTTGTTTTAATCTTATGCTGAATATTTTATCAAGAATTTTGTTAAATTACATATATAGAGAAACTTTACAGCAACAAATATGATGCCTTAATTCTTTTTGTTCGTAAAAATTTGAATAAGAACACGATGAAAATCCACATGTTGTGTATTTGTCATTATTTGTTTTAAAAGTACGTGCTATAATAATGTTCTTTTGGTGTGTAAAAATTGTTGCTATGTTAGGCTTGTAAGAGTTGAAATTCATACATTCTTTGAACAGTTACCATATTGGAGGGCTAACATAGATCATTATTAGAGACAAGTTATTATCGTCATTATGGATGTCAACAATTTTGCCCTTCTATACTACCTGGATTGTCCAACTTTGGGAGGTTCACATCTTAAACCAGAGGAGATTATAATAATTAGATACTTGGGATGTTTTCTGAATATCCATTAATGGCATTGAAACAATTAAGAAGTGGCATGATAATTTAAGTCAAGAAGGTGAAACACAAAAATAATGTCCTGTAATAATCTGATATGAAAGAAGATTTGGAAGCTGACTCATCCTTGATCACTGAATCCAGCTGAAACAAATAGTGAATATATGGAAAGTCTAATCTGATCAAACTCGGGCAATGAGATTGTTAGTCATTTTAACATGATTGACATGGAAAGATGAGAGGCATATTCTCTTTCCAACCTACTTTTGGATTGGTGTTTTTTGGTACAAGATGCAATGCTCTGATTTGTTAAGTTGTTAGCTTTACATATCATGAGTATTATAAATTCTTTGTGCAATGCCTCGAAATTTCAGATTGCTGGAGGAGCTTGAGCGTGGAGAAAAAGGTATTGGAGATGGTACTGTCAGCTATGGAATGGATGATGGAGATGACATTTACATGCTCTCATGGACTGGCTCGATTATTGGTCCTCATAATGTAATTGCTTATTTTACATCGAAAAATCATATGATGTTGTTCCTTTGAAACTTTGTGTTTTTGTGGTCAGCCATATACGAAAATCCTGACACATCGGGCTGATATGCCATTACTCTAGTATCTTATTGTTGTACATGGTCTTTTTCACAAATAGTTAGAATCCTGGTATAGTGGCACTTGTCTTTGGTATTATCCTACTCATGAGCAGCAGCTGTGTTAGTGCATTTTGAAACTGGTCATTTTGCACATGGATTTCTATTTCATTCTTTGTGAGTATTTTTTTCCTGTTGTCAGACTGTACATGAATGTCAAATCTATCAGCTGAAGTTGTTCTGTGATAAAGATTATCCTGAGAAGCCTCCAAGTGTTCGTTTTCATTCAAGGATAAACATGACTTGTGTTAACCATGAAACTGGAGTGGTATATTAATAATGTTTTTCATCTGTTTCTACTTGTTGATCCCATGCTGCCATTATTTATTGGTTCTTTTAACAATTCGTTGGTTTGAGAATGGAGCAATCTGGTTTGTTTCAATTTGTAATCTGCCAAATCCTCGGCCCCCCACCCATCTCCTGCTTTCTTTTCTGTAGAGATGAAACTTGAATGCTCATTCTTCTGAAAGTATGCTTACTGAAACTAAATGAAAATAATTTGATGGCATCTGATGACAACGGGTGGAACCAAAGAAGTTTGGACTTCTTGCAAATTGGCAGAGGGAGTATACCATGGAGGATTTACTGACACAGCTGAAAAAGGAGATGGCAGGCCCACATAACCGAAAGCTGGTCCAACCTCCCGAGAGTACCTACTTCTAGCTCTCAAGATTTTAGTTGTCCTGGATCTAATTGCATTTCCGGTACGCAATATATAGTTTGCAATGCTTGTTGATCTTAAAGAAAATATTGGGGAATGCCCCAAGAAGCATCTCCAATTACCTTTCCTTGGCTTCATTTTCATTATCTTTTCTTATCTAACTCTGTTGAAGGGATGTTGTTTGATTAATGGGACTTTATCTGTGTCGAATATAAGAAAATATCCTTTTGATTATCGTTTTAGTTACAGCCTCGTTTTTCCCCGTTGATGTAGTAGCATTTCAGAATTTTCTTGTTCTTTGATCTCTTTGTTCCTCTATGTACCCAAAAAAAAAAATGGAAAGGAGAAACACAGGAATTTGTGTTTATTTCCCCGTTACGATGATCAAAGAAGTGTGAATTGAGGGCAAAATTTGTAAGTTTTCTTTTGGAGACAGTGTAATCAAAGATTTTAGGGTATAAACTTTGAAGTATTTGTAAGATTGTATATTTTTAAGATTAGCAGATCTTGTGGATTTGAGAAATCTTTTGTATGGATTTTAAGGTACTTGATGTAGATTTGGTTTAAAAGTTGAACTATCCTAAATTATTGCGCAATTTTTCAATCTTTCGATTGCTTCTACACTATCATTTTTGATGTCAATTCACCCCTCTCGACATATTTCAATTGACTAGAAGAACTGAAATTTATTTTCTTGAGCAGAATATTGTCAAATTTAACTACTTATAAGTACATTTGTTTTTGAAATTTACATGATACATATATGAGATCAGACTTTAATATACGATCTTCTTATGTTTGGCTGAGGCTCTAATCGGTGGACTTTCTCATGACAAAACAAATTCTCGAGTGTTTCTCGGACAAACGAACTAATGTTCCACGACCTGCAATATCTTTGCCATATTCTCCACATTATCGGGCAGTTGTGAAAGAGGTGGACAACGATTCCACCTCTTCTCGGCAACAAACACAAAGGTCCCTTGATGAACCACCTTCCACACAAACGCCTCAACTTTTGGCGGGGCTAATTTGGCCCGAACACTTTTCCAACAAATAGCACCTTCAGCCCCATCGCAAACAGCTTTGGCAATGAAACTCTTCGGAGAGTCGACCCCAGAAGTTGCCCCAATCCAATTTAGACGATCAGCAACCGACAACCGTAGTATCCCTCCTTGGACTATTAATCACTCTCATAAATTCATCACAAATTGTGATTTCCCATTCAAATAGGACCCTACGATTCTGAATGTTCCAAACCCAATTACCATTTGACATGAAACCTACTTTGCCATCCTTTTTATAGCCACACTAAAAATTCTCGGAAACTCCCCCTTAACGAAGGGACCTCCGTCCAATAATCATTCTAAAAGTTAGTACCTTTACCATCTCCAACAATTCATCTCATGTTGCTAATGTAAGGGTCCTCATGCTTTTTTAACGACGATGAGATATTTCTCCAAATCCACTAAGTTTTCTTCGGATTAACTACTTTGGGTAACATCGGAAGCTCTTTAAATCCATTTTTTGCAACCATCACTTCTTCCCATAAACTATCTGATTCTGTCCCAAATCTCCACAACCATTTGTTTAAGAGAGCTCGATCTTTGACTCTCACATCCACAAATCCTAAATCGCCATTTTAATTGGGCTTGCAAATGGAATCCCATTTAATCCAATGCATCGACCTCCCTTCACAGAAAATTGGTCGTTACCTTATTTAATTCTGACGCCACAGCTACAGGTATTTGGAACAGAAACAAGTATTAAATCGACAGATTGCTCAGAACAGATTTAATCAGTGTGATATGACCTCCAAACGAGAGGAGTTTGCCCTTCCAGCCATCGAGTCTAGGCTTAAAACAATCTATGATTGGTTGCCACAACTCAATGGAATTTCTCGATTAAACCAAAGGTAGACCGAGGTACTATGTAGAGAACCTGTCCAACCCACAACGAATTGATGATACCAACTCCATGATACACCCTTCATCCACATTAATACCAAAAAGTTTTGACTTACTCGCATTGAGCCTCAGACCAGCCGCGACGTCAAAGACTAAGCACTCTTGATGTTTTTGGCTTGCTCTAAATTCGTGATGAATTGGATTTATGTCATTAATTTTTTTAATAATTAAAATTAAGTCATTGTCCCTCTCAAAATTTATTGACTTGATTATACTTTAGGATCCTTTTGGTTTTAAAATAAAATTTGAATTCTAATTTTATTGGTTTAATTACTCTTAAGACCTTTCAATTTTAAAAATAAACCATAACTCTATTAAATTTTATGGTATATTCAATCTTAAAAATCCTATTTATTTCTGTAACACACCCTTTCCCGTATACGTCACTAATACGAGTCAGAGATTTCACATAATACTTTTAAATCATTTCTTATTAAAAATGGGTAAAATTTTGTTTTTTTATTATTCAATTTAACATTAACAACAAAATTATTTAATCGTGTATATCAAAATATAATATTTTAATATTCAAATGAAGTCCGATTTCATGCAACAACATGACAGTTCAACACCATTTCATACAATAAATGAAATTGCCTAAAAATTTCTTAAATAAAAATTCATCTCAATGGCAATTAAAATATAATTTATTAAAATACTAACCATGCAAACCAATATTTATACTAATAGTATTAAGTATTATCCATTATAAGTTAACACACACATAGCACTGCAAACCTGTTTCAAAACATATTTATATCAGAGCACCACAACACATAAATATACATGCTAATTAGAAATATCAAAAACATCAAAAGATGTCATATTGATGCAAATAAGATGATCTTCGGTAGATGATGCCAACTAAGCTCCTTACTCTGATCGCATTCCTTTACTTACACGTGAAACCATCATATACTAAGTATACACTTAGTGAGACATTTTCATATACAAAGTAAAATATATCGATATAAAAATATCATATAAACCATATTACATAAATCATCATGTAATAATATATGAGCATGTCAAAGAGACTTATTAAAGTTCTTTCCTCGTCTTATGATCGGTAAAGCAACAGTTTACATATGAAACACATTACCAAATCAATGTATTCAATGAAAGATATACTTTTAATCGAACCATTCAACCTACAGTTTTTAGTTAGTTCCATTCAATTCATAGCCCAATGTATAACAAATGATAATACAAGATACGTGAGTCAGACGAATGTGTGCAATATATAGTTTTACTGTCAGTAGCTAAATTGCACTTTTAGTGCCACAATAATAAATTGCACCATTGGTGCCAGTAGGTGTACAGGTATTGTAGAACACAACATCATTGTACCATTAATCAGTAATCAAGAATAGCACAATGTTAAACATCATGAACTCCATAATGCACGAATAGTGTTAGTAGAATGTACATGTATGTACCAGTTCAGTAATGAATAATCACTCCACCTCATGACATGCCAATTGTACTAATGACTCTCAATGCATATACAGTGAGCCTTTTATAAAAATCATATACCATTGAATTAACAAAAGTATCCATAGATACATATATATCAAAATATTATATAATAGTGTATTGGGCAGTTTATACTCAAAATTATTCATATATCATTTAGCAAAACATTATGAAAATCTATCATAATACGACCCAAATCCTTTTTCATTTCCAAAATAATACGACCCAAATCCTTAGTTTTAGCTCGGTTCATTCCCAGGTTTGTTCATAATCTACATGTAAATCATTATCAAAACATATACAATTCAAAGCACATGTTAGTATCTTACTAACATAGGCGTACATTTGCATAAAATTTTCTAAAAATGCTTACGATATTTATTCGATACTAATTATATTTCATAAGATCAATACCAACCTTAACACTCCAAAATAGAACTCTAAGTTTCTCAATATTCAATTCAATGAGTAATTCACATAAAATTTTCAATTTCACAATTTGATCATCAAAATGAATTCTTTTAGAATTCATCCTTTCCATTATATTCAAAATGATCACTTGCCATTTTAATTTCGAATTCAAGCTTCTAATAATATAATCAAGCATTCCAACAATGCATTTAAACATTACACATCAATTTCTAATAAATTTCCATTTCAAACCCATATTTCTACAATTTGTAATTTGGTCCCCTAACCTTTACAAACTTCCAAATTAGTCCAAACAATATTCTAAAGCTTATGGAATCATTCATTCATCGTGTCTAACCTTAAGGAATTTTTTCCAAAATTTTCCCAAAATGTTTCCTGTAGGCCGAATACCAAAGGTCATCTTAGACATGATTTCCAACTTGATTCAAGCATGAATTCAACTTCCTAACATCATTTCCAAGCATTTACAACCAATCTCATATCAAATTCAATTCTAACTTTGGACTTCACATAAAAAACCCAAATGGTTGAATCATATATATACCATTTCCAATGGGGTTTTATAACTTTTCAAGCTTAGAAATGATTCAACAACATCAACCACATAATCCAACCTTAGAACATTAAAACCTAACATCCCGTTCATCCATCCAATTTAGGAATTAAGGGTTTCAAGCATGAAAAGCATTAACAAATAGTACCAAATGATAGATAATTTCATGTGGAATAATTTTATATTTAATGTTTTCATCCAAATTCTTAATAAATTGGCTTGAAAATCAAAATGAAATTTTATCTCTCTTACCTTAGGAGTTCATGAGAATGAAGAAGATGAAGATCAAGTTTTCATGAAAATTCTAATAAAATATCAAAGCCACTTGTGTCACATCCTAATTTAGGGTTTAATTTTTTTCTTTTATTAATTTGGGGATTAAATCAAAATTTTTAGTAAAATCTCAAACCAAATCGTAATATAGGAAAGGCTCAAGGACTAAGGGCATAATTATGCCATTTTTTCAAGTGTGGGAAGTTCAAAACTCCCACATTTTTGGAGAATTCTAAAAGGGGTAAGTTTTTTTTCTCTCTCCCTTCCCCTTTCCTCTTTTATTTTTTTCTCTTCAAGAATAGTTCATCGCCGATCAGTCATCCGTTGATGACACTACCGATGCCACTATGTTCATGTCATTGAAAGGAGTTGATCGGTGGTAGTGATGTCATCGTCATCGTCGCCATTAAAGCATGTGAGAAAGGGAAAGTTTGGTCGTTCGTAGAGGTTGATTTTTTCCGTTCTCTGTTTGCTTTTCATCGCGAAAGAATACTTGTTAGTGA